CCATACACACACACTCATACACTACGGCCAATTTAGTTTAACCAATTCCCCTATAGCGCAAGTGTTTGGACTGTGGGGGAATCCATAGCACCCGGAGGAAACCCACACCAACACGGGGAGAACATGCAAACTCCACACAGAAATGCATACTGGCCCAGCAGGGACTCGAACCAGGGACCTTCTTGCTATGAGGCGACAGTGCTCACCACTGAGCCACCATTCCTGCCTTATATATTTTATTTTTAGATGTATTATTAGTTCAATTTTAAGATTTTTAAGATACGTTTTTTACACGTTGTGTACATTGTATTGTTGTGTGTTAGGTTATCAGGTTTTCTAATCAAGTTAGGATAATTAAGCAAGTTAACAGTAACCTTAAAAATGATTGCATGATTTTTATTTAAGTGTAACTTATTTAAATATAATATAAAAATCCACCCAGGCTCTATTGCATCACTTAATTGAAACAATAATAACATCTATCTGTACACATACTGTTATTCTTTCTATTGTAGATTACATATTATAAACTGCATTATTAGTGTAAGATTTTTAAGATGAAAATATTCACTTTGAGAAAGCACACACACATTGTTAAACATGTTTAGATTGTATTGTTGTGTGTTGATTGTATTGTTGTGTGTTTGCTTTAGTTGTTCTGGTTGACGGCTGTTAGACTGCTGGAATGTGAGTTGTATGATTGCTGTGGTCATGTGACCTCACATACCTAGGCAGGTGGGACTCATTCAGGCCCAAAACCGCCTCCACCAGGCTGCGCCCTACATACTTCACTCATTAATTATACAAGACAAATGAAGCTACAGTTCAGTGTGCTCACAGGAGGTGTGTGACGCATGCCGTTTGTCCAGTGTGTGGTGTAGTGCAATAATCTGAGCGTGTGTAAATTGGCTGCACGATAGTGGAAAAAGCTGATATTGTGATATAATTTTTTTCTGCCATAAATATTGCAATATGATTACATTTTCACAAGCTTTATTTGATGGTTTTCTGGTAAATTTAAAAGTATTCAGGTGCAGAAATTGAATAATCGTAATGCAAAAAATAAGGATGACCTGATCGATCAGCCAAAAATCGGTATCGGCCTTTTAATAATTTAATATTTAATAATCGGTACTCGCCAACCGATTACAGGTGTTTGTTGTCTCTCGTATATTATACATAACATACAGCAGCAACAACATGTAAGGAGGAAAATGATGTGTGGAGGTGTGAACGATCGATTCAGTTGCATCCCAACAGCTAAAATATATTCAGATGCGGTGCGATCTCTGTTTATAAAGTCTACTGGCGCGACTCGTGTGAGTGATGGTCTCTTTGTTGCAAGTGCAACCATTGTATTTGCCATGTTTTAAGCTGCTGTGACACAAGCGGAGCCATTCTTTGTAATTTTTCGTACCAATTTTTTAATGTCTGCGCTGTTATTTTCTGTAAAGCTGCTTCTGGCCATGATATGTTTACACCCAAATGTTAAAAAGAAGTGTGTTTAAGGGATTATATGCAACATACTTCATTTATTCACTTAGGTAAGGTGAGAGCTTAACTTAAGTATCAGACTTAGAGGGAAAATGCATTATAAAGCATGAAGAATCAGAATCAGAACTCTGTATCGGCCGATCCCCATAACAAGGAATCGATACTCTGTATCGGCTGAAAAATCCTGATCGGAGAATCCCTAGCAAAAAATGCTTTTCTTATTTAGCTCTGTCTCGTTTCTAGTCCAAATATCAAAGAATTCTTAGATTGAGTAACAATATTGTTTTGTTTTCACCTAATGATGAAATAAGTCAAAATTAAGCGTTTAAGCAACATTATCAGCCAATATTGGAATGAAAACGATCTTATTTTGGCTTTGAAATTTAGATATTTAGACTAGAAATGTAGGAAAAACTTTTTTTCTTTTCTTGCATAAATCATATAAATAATTAAATACCTCAAAACATACATTTTTTTTGCGTACAAATGTTTTACTCACTCCTAAAATGCTCACAGTCACTGGTGATATTTTATTTTTCTGTGATAAATATTGCGATAAAATACACGTGATGTTGCGACATGATTTCACAAGCTCTAGTTGATGGTTTTCTGGTGAATCTAACAGTATTTAGGTGCAGAAATTGAATAATCACAATGCAAAAATGCATTTCTTATTTTGCTTCGTCTCCTTTTCAGTCAAAATATCTAAATATTCTTAGATCAAGTAAAAATATTGTTTTGTTTTCACCTAATGATAAGTAATAAGTAAGAATTAAGCATTTAAGCAACATTATCAGCCAATGTGGGAATGAAAACGACCTTATTTTGGCTTTGAAATTTAGATATTTAGACTAGAAACGAGACAAAAATTCAGAAAAGTGCGAAAACCTTTTTTGTTATGCATAAATCTTATACATAAACAATTAATACAATTAACCAAATAATTTTTTTTTTGTGTGTCCAAATGTTTTAATCAATTGAAATATTTCTTTTTAAGCCTTAACAACTCAAATGATAAACTTTCACTCTATTATGGTTAAACTTATCAGTAGCTCCTGGTCAACTGTAATCCAGACTCAATGTTGCATATCCTGCGATGTGACTTTTGCGGATGTGCACATTGCGATATCGATGCTGAAACGATATATTGTGCAGCCCTGGTGTGTAATGAATGTTAATGTCTGACGGTAAAGCAGCGAGCGCTTTGTTTCCTGCAGGACGATCTGCTGTAAACTAGAGCAGAGCTTTACTGGAGCTCATCAATTATTCAGCTTTATCCTCATGAGTGGCCATAATAAGATGAGCTGCAGGTCATGCCGCACATTTAACAGCATCTGTTGCCTTTTTTGTTAGTTTATAATAATTTGAGCTTCTTAAAAATCATTGATCATGTGCTAATTAATGTGCGAACAAAGTGTTGCTCTGTTTATATGCATTATTTTAAGATTCCATTCATTTAGCATTAAAAGTTTTGAATGCATGAACACATCTTAAAGGCACAGTTAACTCCAAAGCAGTAATTTGCTGTTAAACGTTGTTCCATCCGAGATGTAGATGACTTTTCTTGTTTAGCAGAACATTCAAGAAGATTTTTAGCTGACATGTCAATATTCATTCATTCATTTTCCTTCAGCTAAGTTCATTATATTTATCAGGGGTCACCACAGCCAATTATTCCAGCATGTGTTTTATTCATCGGATGCCCCTCTAGCCGCAACCCAGTACTGGGAAACACTCATTCACACACACACTACGGCCAACTTAATCCATCAGTTCCCCTATAGTGCATGTGTTTGGACTGTGGGGGAAACCGGAGCACCCAGAGAACATGCAAACTCCACACAGAAATGCCAACTGGCCCAGCCGGGACTTGAACCAGCAACTTTCTTGCTGAGAGGCGACAGTTCTAACCATTGAGCCACTATGCCATCTCGATATGTCAATAAATTCACTTTATTAAATTATATGACAAAAAGTCATGACAGCAAATGTTTTCTATGCTACTTTTACCTAATTTAACAAGTTAATCAGACTTCAGCACAATTGTTTCAGCTATACAAGGTTTAACATAATATTATTGGCCAGTTTGTCTGATTTAAGAGATGACTAGAAAGTTTATTTGATTTAACTAAAAAAATGAAGGCAGGGTGATCCTTTTCTGTGCAAAAACTACATTAATTTCAATATTATTACCTTGAATTGTGGATAATTTGACAGTAAGTGAACTGTCCCTTTAAGTAAAATATGCAGTGGCACAAACACACTGTAGGCTACCCATACAGTGAAACAATTTAATAAAGAAACACTAAATCTTTTTAAAGTAAGCCTATAGGAGCCAAAGAGATAATACACAGTGCACAAATTGGCAAATTTAGGCCACTAAATGTTATCTTGTGGACATGTATTGCATTGCTAAGTTGTGTAATGTGTAATTTAGCGCACTGCATACTGTATTGTGAGACAGTCTGCTTGCCTTTAGCCTATGCTAAATATTTTACAAACAAAATGTGTGAATTACTTTTGTAAATATCAGTCTGTTTATTCAGTAAGCGGGTGCAAAACATAAAACATGTGCCAGAATAGTTGGTGGTTCATTCCGCTGTGGCGACTCCCTGATTAATCAGGGACTAAGCTGATGCAAAGAGAGTGAATTCAGGACTTACAATTTGCACAATATGAAGGGAAAATAAATGCACTACACTGCAAATCAACCCCTCTAATAGGATTAATTGGAGACTTTAACTTGTCAGCATACAAACCTATTAATAAACTATAAAACTTACTTCAAAATATGATGTTTAGTGATTCATTCTTATCTAGAAATCATACATTCTGGTCTCGATTTGTGAAAACTGCCAAAAATGAGATGTCAGTCAGCATCAGCAACGGACAGTAGCGAATAAATTATCGCAGTGGCCAATCAGATGCCAGAGTTGTCCAAAGTGAAACGCTTTCAAAACACATGTGAACCTGGAGCTTGTTTAATTATACAGTCAAGACCGATGAGATTTGCATCATGCAATATTGAGTGCATGACCTCTACACGACCCCTGAACCACAGACTGATGATCTGAAACACACTCAAGTACACACACAGCATACACAAAAAAAGACATCCTTTTAAAAAAACAATGATGAGAGTGTTAAAAAAACAAAACAAAAGTGATGACATTTTTCTGGAGATGTTCATGTAAATGTGTGCATGAATTATGAAGGTGTTTAGCACGGCTGTGGGACTCCACACACTCCAGTACAGTGCTGGCTTTAAATCTGCTGTGCTACATTTCTGGTAATAAATAAACATATAAATGACATGTAACACTGTATATAGTGTAGTATAAGAGTATGTAGTGAAGTGTGTATTATCAGTTAAAATAGTTTGAATAAATGTATGTTATTATGTATGTAGGTAAATGTGTAATTATTTATTTCTGAAGATTTTTTTGAATGAATATGTGTGTTTGTGCGTGATAAGTGAATGATTGTTTGTGTGCTTTGCTGCACAGGAATCTGATGTCTGTGGCTCACACACGCAGCGATGTTGAGCTGTGAGGGGTGTGTGTGCCTGCCAGAGCGCAGAGTCATTGATGGCTGGATGTAGGTGAGCACCACAGCGCTCTCTGCTGGACCACAACACCATATACACACTCTCATACATATACACACTCGTATACAAAATTCACTCACACACAAGTACTCGTATAGACACAGACACACTCTCAATCGAATACAAACACTCACACACATACTCGAACACACACACACTAATATATACACTCACAAACTCACTCAAAAACATACTCATACAAACACACTCTTACACACATTTTCATATACTCACACACATACTCATATACACATTCATGCACACTCGTATACACACACTCATACATTCTCTGTCTCTCTCATTCATACACACACACACAAACAAACACACACACTCACACACCTCTAAATAAACGGTCTGATGTCACAGGGGTCCAGTGGTGTGTTAAAGGCGCAATGGGGAGCTGCTGTAGCTGTCCCGATAAAGAGATCATCCCTGACAACCATCACAACAAATTCAAGGTCAGTGCATGCGCACACACACGCGCACACACACACACACACACACACACACACACACACACACACACACACACACACACACACACACACACACACACACACACACACAAATATGGTAGTAAAATAAACATCTCATACATGCTGTACTTCAACTTTATAATCCGACAACCATTCTTGGACTTGGTTTAAGGAGAAACTCTCTTAATCTTTGCATATTATTCCCTAAAACGAGACAAAATCTTTTGCTTCTCTAGAAAATGCTTCTTGATTTAAGTATTTTTAGAAATTTGGATTAGAGTCAAGACAAAAACTGACGTAAGAAAAACTGTGAAATTAGTTATTAAAAAAAATGTTTAAAGATGTATTGAAAACATTCAAGTGAAGGTGTGTAGATGCTGACAGTGCTCTGTGTGTGTGTGTGTGTAGGTGATAAACGTGGATGATGATGGTAATGAGCTGGGCTCAGGTGTGATGGAGTTAACAGAGGAAGAGCTCATTCTGCACACGCGCAAACGAGACGCCGTCAAGTGGCCGTATCTCTGTCTGCGCCGCTATGGGTACGACTCAAACCTCTTCTCCTTCGAGAGTGGCCGGCGCTGCCAGACTGGACAAGGTGAGACTCCCAGCTCACGCTATACCACACTTGTCTCTACTTTATAAATTAATGCGTTTTATTGTTGAAACAGTCTGTTATGGATTGTCCTAGTGAATATGAAGTGTGAATTTTAGGTTGTGTGCGGGCAGCTTATTACGTGAAAATGGAATGTTATTACTAGGGTTGGGCCGATAGAAGATGCCATCGTCCATCGCTGATGGCCAATAGACAACACGATGCTGAGCAGGCATCGCAATCCATCGCCCTGCCCCCTCTCGCAAACCCACTAGCGAAAAATACACTCTCAGACCCTGTTTACACTCATACGTCTTAGTGTTAAAATGGCATTTTAGAACGAAAATGAACCACATCCACACTGTTTTACCTAGCATTTCTGAACAGCCCCACCGTTATCACGTGACTACACAGACACAGCCACACACACACACAGCCACAAGCTGTCATGCCCTCCTCTGAGCTCCAGGCAGAGAGCAGTGCACTTGAGAGAGTTTATAAGGATGTACCGCTGGATCGCGTCTCACTATACTTGTTAAACGTGATATTTAGACATCCCAAGTCTCCCAGAAGCTCCGGTAGACTTTATGCATTCGCGGGACTCATAATGCCCGCAAACGAGAGATGAACTCTCGGAAATCGCGTTTCTCCCTCCCAGTCCTCAAATGAGTCGCGCACCTTTCTCACCCCTGGATCCCTCGCTCTTCAATAATGTATGGATAAACGTTAAACTCAGACATCCCAGGTCTCTCGGAAGCTCCGGGGGTCTCTATGCATTTGCGGGACTCAATACCCGCAGACGAGTGATAATCTCCCGGAAATCGCGCATCTCCCTCCCGGTCCTCAAATGAGTCGCGCACCTTTCTCTCACCCCTGGATCCTTCGCTCTTCAGACTTCGCTTCTTCCCCCCATTGTACGATGCCAAATTGGTCGACATCTCCCAACCCTAGTTATTACTTTAAGGTAATTAAGCTCTTATTGTAGGTAAGGACAGGGATTATCATTTTAATTGTACTTATATTTATTAGTTTGAATTGTTTGTGTACAAGCACTGTGGTCAACGTTTGTTGTATTAACATGTGCTTTACAAATAAACTCAACACCAATGTAAGTTCACACTTCAGCGTTTTTTCTCCTCAGGGATATTTGCGTTCAAATGCGCTCGGGCCGAGGAGATCTTCAACATGCTGCAGGACATCATGCACAACAACAGCATCAGTGTGGTGGAGGAGCCTGTGCTGGAGCCTGAGCTTCCTGCGACGCCACACACACCCACCAGTAAGAGCGCACACACACACTTCCTGTTTGGGCTGCACAATATATCCTTTCAGCATTGATATTGGAATGAGCGGATCCGCAAGAGTCATATTGCAGGACGTGCAATGTTGAACTGGAATTATAGTTCAGCTGGGGTCTGTACCAAGATGCTGCATTAGACAGCTAGCCAGTTAAGTCTTAGGTAACATGAAGGCAGCTTGACTTTGTCACTTTTTTTACCATGGTTATATGGAGAAGCTCTTGAGCTGAGCTACCTTCAGGATACCTAAAATCCAGAATTGGTGCAAAGTGAAACTTCACTGGCTTCCTAGTACAGGCCTCTGGAGCCTCCGTTTGTGAGGTCACTGCAGAATTTACCCATAATGGCATGACATTTATCATCTGCTTACCTTTTTAAGGCCATTTCAAGAGAAATTAAAGGATTTAGGCTGAATAAATTTGACCATTTATAACTTTAATAAAGCTGAATTAACCCTAACAATGAAAACAATGCAGTTTTACATTTACATTTAGCCATTTAACAGACGCTTTTATCCAAAGCGACTTACAAATGAGGACAAGGAAGCAATTTACACAACTATAAGAGCAACAATGGATAAGCACTGTAGGCAAGTTTCAGGTGTGTAAAGTGTAAGAAGCAAAACATTAGTAATGTAAGTGTTTTTTTTTTTGAGTACAGTTAGCGGTGGAGCCAGAGAGGCAATTGCAGATTAGGAAGGGAAGTGGAGACTTAATAGTTGAGTTTTTAGTGGTTTCTTGAAGACAGCGAGTGTCTCTGCCGTTCTGATGCAGTTAGGGAGTTCATTCCACCAACTGGGCAGATTGAATGCGAGCGTTCGGGAAAGTGATTTCTTCCCTCTTTGGGATGGAACCACGAGGCGACGTTCATTCACAGAACGCAAGTTTCTGGAGGGCACATAAATCTGCAGAAGTGAGAGCAGATAAGGAGCAAAGCCAGAAGTCGCTTTGTAAGCAAACATCAGAGCTTTGAATTTGATGCGAGCGACAACTGGCAGCCAGTGCAAACGGATGAGCAGCGGAGTGACATGTGCTCTTTTAGGTTCATTAAAGACCACTCATGCTGCTGCGTTCTGAAGCAGCTGAAGAGATTTGATAGAGTTAGCTGGAAGAACGGCTAATAGAGAGCTGTAATAGTCCAGTCTGGAGAGAACAAGAGCTTTTAGTAACATTCAGTTACGCGATTACCTGAGTACTGTTAGACTCTCCAGAAAACCTTAAAGCACTGTTTATTTCCCTTTTATCTTTGCTCTACTGTATTTATCTATGCTTGTATTTGTTTATTATATTTTATGCATGATTAATTCCTCTACAAAATCATCTTAATCCAAATGAAAGATTTTTCAAAATAGACCTTTTTAAGCCATCTGTTGAAACTGATATAGCAGAAACACGAAATAATGTAATGTCAGATTTTTGACACCCTATTCATGTCCTCACAAACACACACTGAGCTCCTGCTGACTTCTCCACTGCTCTCTGCAGCTCCAGGTTACTCTGTCCCGACGGTGGCCAATGGGATCAGCCGCTATCCATTGTTTGACGCCTCCTCGCGGCCGTCCAGTCGCCATCCTTCTGTGGGCAGCACTAGACTACCATCAGTAGGAGAAGAGTCGACACATCCACTGCTGCTCAACGACGAAACGGTACACACACACACACACGACTAATAATATTAGTCATTGTTTTATTATCTACATTACAGTTTACTATGGTTTATTCAAAATGATATGTATTATATCCTGTTTGTACAGTTGAAGTCTGTATTATTAGCGCCCCTGTATATCTTTTTCCCCAATTTCTGTTTAACGGAAAGAAGTTTTTTTTTTAACACATTTCTAAACATAATAGTTTTAGTAACTCATTTCTAATCAATGATTTCTTTTATCTTGGCCATGATCAGGATTCATGCGGTCATGAAAAACCTGGAAAAGTCAGGGAATTTTGACATGCCATTTTCCTTCTTTTCCGTCCATGGTCAAACACACACTCTCACACTATTAGTGCTTTGTGAACATAAGTAAATTTTACATAGATACAAAGATTCGTTTAAACTAAATGTTGCATGTTTTATGATATGCTCTATTAACTTTAAAGATGCTTCATTTTTCTTATTATTTACTATGTATACACCAGGGAACAACAAACTTGTTCTTGGAGGTCTGGTGTCCTGCAGATTTTAGATCCAATCCTAATCAAACACACCTGAACAAGCTATTTAAGGTCTACTTGAAACACACAAACAGGTGTGTTGAGGCAAGTTGGAGGTAAACCCTGCAGAGCACCGGACCTCCAGGAATGAGATTGTTGACTCCTGGTATACATAGACATTACATAAAACACTAGTTCATGAAAATTTACTTCAAAGTCATGGAAAAGTCATTGAACTTTAGTAGTAAAAATGTGTATGAACCCTGCATGATGACAGCACATAATATTTGACTAGATATTCTTTAAGACACCAGTATTCAGCTTAAAGTGACATTTAAAGGCTTAATTAGGGTAATTAGGGTAAAGTTAGGGTAATTAGGCAAGTCATTGTATAACAGTGGTTTGTTCTGGAGACAATACAAAACTAATATTGCTAAGGGGGCTAATAATATTGACCTTAAAATGGCTTTTAAAATTTAAATTCAGCTTTTATTCTAGCCGAATTAAAACAAATAAGACTGTCTCTAGAAGAAAAAATATTATAGGAAATTCTGTAAAACATTACTGAATCTGTTCAACATCATTTGTGAATATTTGAAATAAAATGTACAGCAGGACTAATAATTTTGACTTCAACTGTTTGTAAATACATATAAATGTACATTCATTTAAAAAAAAATAAAAAAAATTCAAGGATTTAAGATTATGACAATTACTTAGTTTAGTTAGTTTAGTTTAGTTATTTATAAAGCACATTTGTTTATACACAACGTTGCCCATAGTGCTGAACACAATCAATGCTAATTAAAATAAGTCCTACATCACATACATAACAATTAAAACATAAGGCAAACCCCAAAACATTAAAAAAGCTCAAATGCTAAGGAACAAAGATGCCGTTTCAGAAGCTTTTTTAGAACAGATAAAGTTGGAGCGTGCCTAACGTGGGGTGGAAGCTTGTTCCAGAGTGTTGGGGTGATAACAGCAAAAGCTCAATCCCCACTTTACTTACACCAAGACATTGGTACAGGAAGAATAAACTGATTAGAAGACCTTAGCAACCTACCAGGATTTTAAGTAAGCTTGTGCCAGACCATTTAATGATTTATAAACAAGAATTAATCATTTAAAATCTTTTCAAAATCATTGAACGCGAAAAGGGTCCATGATCATATTTTTAGGAGTAAACAAACCTATTTTTCTCTGTATTATGAATGTCATGTCCGTCCAGGTACACACATACGTCAACACTACAGGACTGCAGGAGGAGCGGCGCTGTCGCAGCACAGGCCACACCCCTCTGGAGCCTGAGACGTCCAATCACGAGAGCGCAGTGCCAGCGTCGCCCAATGAGCAGGAGCCTTGTGTGGTGTGTAGTAATTATATATACAGCTGAAGTCAATTATTTCCCAAATAATGTTGGCCAGATTCAGGAATTTTTCACAGTATTTTCTATAATATTTTTTCTTCTGGAGAAAGTCTTATTTCGGCTAGAATAAAAGCAGTTTTTAATTTTTTAACCCATTTTAAGGTCAATATTATTAGCCCCCTTAAACAATATTTGTTTTCGATTGTCTACAGAACAAACTACTATTAAATACAATTAACATTTAACAGAATAGCATTTTAATGTTGCCGAAAATCGTACTTATGTGCGCTTTACTAATGTGTGCAGTTACCTTTGTGGTATTGTGTGTTTTTTTTATGAATATGGTGTGGTTTGTACTGTTCTGATTGTCTTCTGTTGCTAATAAACCCAATAAAGTTGAACATTTATATTGATCAATTAAAATATTTGCATTTTAAAAACTACATTTAGTTGCTTTGTACTTGTACATGTGATGACAATAAAGTCGAATCTAATCTAATCTAATCTAATCTAATCTAATCTAATCTAATCTAATCTAATCTAATCTTTTATAGGTGCTGGAGCCTGAGAGTGTGAAGTTTGTTTTAGGCCCGACGCCTGTGCAGAGACAGAGACAGCAGCAGGAGACGGGCGAGGAGGCGACTAATTCTGAACACACTTCATACACTCCTCCTGTTAAGACAGTAAATGGCAACGCAGGCCTTATGGCGGACTGTGACACCGGCTACGACAGCGATGAGCGCAAAGAGACATCATGTGAGCATCATAACGGCATTTCAACAGGAGCCAGACGCATCAGACCCCCCGTCCCGCTGCCAGATGCACACAATGCTAACAATTCAGCCCAGCGGCGGACAGCGCTACTAAACTATGAGAATCTGCCTGCATTGCCGCCTGTCTGGGAGATGCGCAAACCCGAGGAGGATGAACTCAAATCTCCATCGCTGAACGGATTTCATTCACTCGACCCGCAGCATAATTACGTCAATACTGAGAATGTGACGGTGCCGCTTAGTGCACATAAACACAACTCTCAGCCGAGCGTTTTTAACTTTGACCTGCGGCGGCTTGGAGTGGGCGACCCGCTCCGCCAGCTGAACTACATTGAGGTGGAAATGGACAAAGTGTCGGATTCTAGCGGGCCTCATACGCCTAAAACACCCACTACACCTCTGCCGGCCACTCCTACACGGAGAACTGAGCTGTACGCTGTTATTGATATTGAACGCACTGCTGCCATGTCCAGCCTGCAGAAAGCACAGCCACGGGACGATGGGACGTCCAGAAAAACACGACACAACAGCACCGACCTGCCCATGTGACCCGCACTGACAACAATGTACAAATCAGTTTATACATCAGTTTATCTCAGCCAAATCCCTCATATTTCTCATTGAGTTGAGCTTTTGGTTTTAGTCTGCTGGAGTAGGTGGAAAATATTTGATAAGTAAGCAAGGCTGTGACATGTTTAAGAGATAGTTCACCCTAAAAATGACATTTACTTTTAATTTACTCTCCCTCAAGAGGCTTTATACCTGTTTAGGTTGAACACTAATGAAGGTATTTTAAAAAAATTTTCTATCTAAGTCAATGGTTACAGGTTTACAGCATTTTTCTAAACATCTTCTTTTGTGTTCAACGGAAGAGAGAAACTTTGTTGGAAGTAAAAGGGGTATCAGAGGTGTATAATCACTTGAGGAAGAGTAAATAGTGAGTAAATTTGCATTTTTGTGTGAACCAACCCTTTAGGGTCGTCATTTCTTATTTACCTTGTGGTTTGGGATATTCAGGGTTTCTGCAGGTCTTAGAGAAGTTTTAAAACTTTTCCTTCAGTTTAAGGGCTTAAAAACGTCTTAAAGGGATAGTTCACTCAAAAATAAATACTTACTCTTTATTTACTCCCCCTCATGTGGTTATTCACCTTTGGTTTATAACCAGACTTGCTTTAATTGTTGAAAAATGGGTTGAAAAATTGTTGAAATGAGTCGTTTTAAAGTGAACGATTTAAGTGAGTTTATGTTTAAACCAAGAACAATTCTCTGTCAGTCAGGTTTCCAAACGTTTCTGTTTGAATTCATTAAATGTTGTACTTGTTTTAATCATAAACTTGCACTGGTATCTGAGTAAGTTATTCACTAAACACTGTAAAACACATGTAAATGAAACGCTTTCTGTGTTTTGTGATGCATGTTTGTTCTGTTAGTTCATGCTTTTCATTAATTCATGATTTTGACTTGCAGTTTGGGACTTGATTTTTTTTCTCCAACAACTTTAAATGAGGAAATTTTGATGATGAAATTTCGACTTTTGATGATGAAATTTTAATTGTTTGAATATATATATATATATTTTCAACATCAAAAGTTGACAGAACAGAGATCAACATCCCATAATGCAATTCACAACAGTACATAAACATTTCACAATCACAAAATACAGAAAGTGTTAATGAACAGATGCTTTAACAGTGTATGTTTTCAAGATTAATCATTATGAACCTGCAGAAACTAGTATTTTCATAGATATTAAAGTTGCTTCAAAATCAGATGCCAAAAATATATGGAACTGAGTTTTCCGAAATGTCAATTCCAATATCAGAGTGTTCCAGAAGCTGATTCCAATAATATTCTAGAACATTTTTCCAGAATGCTGATTTCAATATCAGAGTGTTTCAGAATGCCTTTCAAGAATGTTTTAGAACAGTTTTCCAGAATTCCAATAATAGAGTTTTCTGAAATGCAGATTCCAGCAATGTTCTAGAACAGTTTTCCGGAATGCTGATTCCAATAAAAGTTTTCTGTAATGCCGATTTCAACAATGTTCTAGAACAGTTTTCCGGAATGCCAATTCCAATATCAGAGTGTTTTTAGAATGCCTTTTAAGAATGTTTTAGAACAGTTTTACGGAATTCCAATAACAGATTCCAATAATGTTCTAGAACAGTTTTCCGGAAAATTCCAATCCATATTTTTTAGGTATCTGATTTTGAATCAACTTTAATAGTAATAATAACTTTACCTTTAATAGTTTGGGCAAGAATATCTATCTCTGGTCTGGAGTTTGCAGCTTTGATCTTATGCTTGATAATGTTCACAAAGCAGAAGATCTTCCTACAGTGCCCAGCATAAATGAGAGCCCCCTTTTGAAAGGTGTACCCCTTTTCTCAGTGAATATAGACAAGAATTGTTTCTGCATTTAAACAACAGGTAAGGATTTGGGCTTCTACTTAATGAGTAGAGAGAAAATACATTTAAATACAGTTATTGCACAAAATATTTCAACTAAATTTGATACCTTTTTATATTTCTCTACATTTCCACTTAACATTAATTTAGGTGCACTAATTCTTGCACTGTGATTTTTTGTTAGTTTTTTGTTAGATTATTTGCATTAGTTTTGTCTTCGGTACTGATTAATCTAATGTAAATTACATAAAAGCATCCGGTAGAAAATCTGAATGTAAACGAGAGCTCTGCGAGGGTGAACTCATTTATGCTGAGCACTGTAATATGCATTGAAGAATGAGTTCAGTTTTCAGGTTACCGAAATAATCTTGGGTTTGTGGTGAAATATGAGCGGTTTGATGAGATGAACTGTAAGCGTGCATATATTCAGTTTAGTAACGCGGGTCTCAATCAGGTCCAGTTGTAGAAACACTACAGCGCTCAGCCAGACCTCATTCACCAATGCTGTGATGTTTGACTCTCCTCTTCACTTATTCACAGGTGTTGTGTGCTACTTTGTCAATGTAAGTCACTCGTTTTGCACTTGAGAGCAATCGCAGATGCTCACTACGGTATTCACACGCTTCACTGTGGTCACTTTAGCCTCAGACATCTCAGATCTCAACAATCCCTCAAGTGTTTGATGCTGCACTGTAAAAATATCTGTTCATTCTGTGATTCACAGGTGTTTTCGGTTTATTTACGGTTGTGAATTGCATTATGGGATGTTGATCTTTGCTCTGTCGGCTTTTGATGTTGAATATTCAACTCTGCAGTTTAACAAAGTGACTTCTATTGACATTTTAATAGTTTAAAGTAATATAATGTTTAGGAAATAATAGAGAATGTATGTTAAGGTGTTTATAGTGTAATATACAGTTGAAGTCAGAATTATTCGCCACCCTTTGAATATCTTTTTCTTTTTTTAAATATTTCCCAAATTATGTGTAACTGGTCAAGGAAATTTTCACAGTATGTCTGATAATATTTTTTCTTCTGGAGAAAGTCTTATTTGTTGTATTTCGGCTAGAATAAAAGCAGTTTTGAATTTTTTATGAAACATTTTAGGGACAAAATTATAAGCCCCTTTAAGCTTTTTCTTGATAATCTAGAACAAACCACTGTTATACAATAACTTGCCTAATTCCCCTAACCTGCCTAGTTAACTTAATTGACCTAGTTAAGCCTTTAATGTCACTTTAAGATGAATAGAAGTGTCTTGAAATATATCTAGTTAAATATATTTTACATTCATCATGGTAAAGATAAAATAAAACAGTTATTAGAAATGAGTTATTAAAATTATTATGTTTAGAAATGTGTTGAAAAAATCTGCTCTCCGTCAAACAGAAATTGGGGCAAAAATAAACAAGCAATCTAATAATTTAGGGGGGCTAATAATTCTGACTTCAACTGTACATCACCATCCCAGACAATAAATCATTTTAAACTATTAAAAATGTTCATAAAAGTCACTTTTACAGACTTTTTCAAGGTTAAAAATTGTTGGACGAAAGATCAAGCTCCCATAATGCAATTCAAAAACAGAAATAAATAATAACAAAACAAAAACATGAAACAAAATATGGAAAACTGACAATTCATGGAGATTTTTACAGTGTACAGGTGCTTTAATGCAGTCTCAGCTGCAGATTCACCACAGTTGATGATTATTATTATGTTTCCTTGGCTACAAAAAAAAGTTGACTCAGCTTAAAATCTTAAGGCGATGTACTTTGTTGAGTTGACTTATCTTTTAACCCAAGCACTGCACTTGGCTCCATTTAAGTTGAGTCAACTCAAAAAGCTTCAACTTTTTTTCTTTTTTTACAGCGATGTCGATAATGGACAATATTCATTCCACACACGTATCATTGGACAGGATAAGAAGCAGATCAAATCAGAGCTCATTTGTTTCCCTCCAAACTTAAACAGATCTCATGCATGCATGCATAAACTAAAAGCACGCAAACTTCATTCATTTTCCTTCACCTTAGTTCCTTATTCAGCAGGGCTCGCCACAGCAGAATGAACAGCCAACTATTCCAGGATATGTTTTACGCAGTGGATGCCCTTCCAGCTGCAACCCAGTTCTGGGAAACACCCATACACTCTCACATTCACACACACTACGGCCAATTGAGTTAATCAATTCCCCTATAGTGCATGTGTTCGGATTGTTGGGGAAACCGGAGCACCCGGAGGAAGCACTCGGCAACACGGGGAGAACATGCAAACTCCACACAGAAATGCCAACTGGCCCAACCGGGACTCGAACCAGTAATCTGAGGCGACAGTGCTAACCACTGCGCCATCATGTCGCCCCAACATGCTAAATATTTATAAAATAAATTGAATAAGGTTTTAAACATCATCGCTTCACAATATTGTAAGAAAATAAACATCGCTTTAAAATCGACAAGTAATTCAATAATAATTTCTCATGTATATATTTTTTTTACTGGCAATTTTGAAAAGCAGATGAAATCAGGGATTATTTTGGCCTTAATTTAAACAAATAATGATATATATATATATATATATATATATATATATATATATATATATATATATATATATATATATATATATATATATATATATATATATAAATTAATATCAATATAAATATCAATAAAGATATCAATAATAAATTAATTCCTGATGAGATTTGTCCAATTATAGGTCCATACTGGAGTCAGATTAAATAAGGGCATGTTTTTCGCTCAATGTAAACAAGTAAACAAGTAAATAAACAATGTTAAAATGTAAAATTAAATGTACATAATATTGCCTATGTAATATATACTGCTCAAAAAAATGAAGGAAACACTTGGAGTTACATTGTGTTGTTGAACCTCTTAACTGGTAAACGGCCTGCCTACAGGCCATCCGGGCGTGGCTGGGAGTGTCTGTAAAAATGTATAACCTTCATTTATTCAGTGTTCCCTTTATTTATTTATTTTTGAGCAGTATTTATTTATATAAGCATATAAAATCACCACTTATTTGCTCCCTAAATTTAAACATTTTTATTTACAAAATAATTTAAAAACATTAACAAAGCATATTTGGCCTACTTTGAAAGGAGATACAACTATTGTTAATAAAGTATTGTTATTGGCTGCACACCTAATAAAATACAGCACATAATCATACAAACTCACCACTTACTGCCCCTAAATTCAAACATGTTTATTAAAAAATAAAATAAAAACATTCACTCATTCATTCATTTTCCTTCGGCTTAGTCCCTTTGTTCATCTGGGGTTGCCACAACCTAATGAATCACCTATTCCAGCATATGTTTTACACAGCGGATGCCCTTCTAGTTGCAACCCAGTACTAGGAAACACACTCTTATTCACACACACACACTCAAACACTACAGCCAACTTACCTTCAGTTCCCCTTATAGCACATATGTTGTGAAACCGGAGCACTCAGAGGAAACCCACACCAACACGGAGAGAACATGCAAACTCCACACAGAAATGCACACTGATCCAGCCAGGCCTCGAACCAGTAGACTTCTTGCTGTGAGGCGACAGTGCTAACCACTGAGCCACCGTGCCGCCCCATAAAGATAAACAAAGGAACTCAAAATAATTAATTAAATAATAAAGTATTGACCAAGTTTGGAAGGGAATACAAATATTGTGGTTAATCGAGACCAAAAAGCCAGACTGCTCACCTGAAAACATCTGAGAGAACGTGTGTGTGTGTGTGTGTGTGTGTG